ACAGATGGCAAAGAGCCTCCCAGGTTTCTGGCTTGTGCAGCGGGATGGGATAGTGTTGCCATTTGCTGAGACAGGAAACATGGGGGACAACCAGATTTGAGGTTTGAGTTTGGAAGACCTTTGAGACAACTAGAGGAGCTGTTCGGTAAGTACTTGGCCATATGGGGGCTCACTGGGAGTCTTGCCATTACCACATAACGAGGAAATGAAAGCCCAGAGGGGTGAAAGGACTTAGGTTACATTCCACAGTGAGTCCAGGCCTGACATATACTAAGCCATGACCTATCTTTCCAGACTTTGAAGCAGAGGATGTGGACAGCCCAGAAAGTTCCAACTTGCCTCTCACCTGGCTCCCCAAGCAGGACCCTCAACGAGACATGACAGAAGAGGAGCCAGATGAGGCCCTCAGAGATCATGAGGCTGAGGAAGCTGGAAAGAGCTCCCCAAAGTTGGGGTATGAGACTGGTTTCTGCTCCAGAAACAATGGAAGCATCAGCCTCATGGCTCCAGAGTGGGGTCAGGCCACAGGCTGGGTGGCCTCTGACAAACAAGCCAGTGGAGACAAACTTCCAGAACATTCTGAGGTCAATCCAACTGTTGACCTCAGCTCTGCAAGGTCCTGGAGCAGTGGGACTGAAAGCCTCGACCACCCTAGTGACAGCCTTGATTCTACCTGGGAAGAAGAGGCCAATGACCTCCAGCCCCCTGCCCTAACAGAAACTTCACCCCAGAGCCCCAGCCACCACCTCCTACACACAGACGACAGAACTGGAGAAAGCGTTGCTCTGGCAACCCCCATGGAATTCCAGGACTCGTCAGCACCCCCAGCCCAGAGCTTCCAGTGTCCTGCAGATAGATGGAGGAGAGAAACTACCAGTTTCTCCTGCCCTCAGCCCAGGGACCACGCCTGGAAGCGGACACGGATATCACCTAAGGCGCTGCCTTCCCGATTCACCGGCTCCATCAGCCCCCCGAATCCTCCGCCGAGGCCAGCTCAGCAGGACAGGCCGCCACCTAGGCAGAGAGCCACTCTGGCTGGCCACTCATCTTCTGACGCCCCCAAGTATGGCCAGGGGCAGCTGAACTACCCGCTTCCTGATTTCTCCAAGGTGGGACCCCGGGTGAGGTTCCCTAAAGATGAAAGTTACCATCCCCCCAAGGCTAGGAGGCACAGCAGGCAGCCTAAGGACCCTGTCAGGCCACTGATCTTCAAGTCACCTGCCGAGATTGTGCGGGAGGTACTGCTGAGCAGTGAAGAAGCCTGCCAGGGAAAGGACCCACCTCCATCCCACCCCATCACCAAGGTACCTCAAGAATTTCAGACGCCTGAACAAGCCACCAAGCTGGTCCATCAGCTCCAGGTAAGCTGGACTCATTTCTAAAGGTGTGTCACTAATGCGCCTGCTGGCCTGGGTGGTTTGGAAGCTGGTTGGAATTGGGGGTGGGGGTGGGGGGGTGGCCTCAGGCTGGGCCAGGAGCCCCCTGCTGGTGGAGAGAGGGTTGTACCCCAAGCCATGAAGAATCCCTAGCCCTTTGCTCAAAAAGAACAGTGATTGGTCTCTTGCTGCCAGGATAGTCCGTGTTTGTTTGTTTTTAACTTCTGCTGTGAAAACATTTGAAACATAAACAAGAGACAAAATGGTATAATGAGTCCCCCTGTCTCCGTCACCTGGCCTCCACCCATGTACCCATCACCCAGCCCCTGGCAACCTTTTCATCTATGGCTTCACCCTTTTCCCCACTCACCCTACTGGAGTATTTTGAAACAAATTTCAGGCATCAGATCATTGGATTAAAAAACATTTTAGTATGTACGTCTAAAGATAAGGATTCTATCTTGAACATCATCCTACCTAAACGTGAACACCAGTTCCTTAATATTATCCAATACGCCGTCCGTGTTCAGATCTCCCTGTGTGTCTCCTAAATGGCTTGTTTGTTTCAGTTGGTTCGAATCAGGATCCA